GCGCAATTTGCTAAACCTAGGTATTTATACTTATAACACACATTCGATGTTTAAGTCCACAGCCCAAGTGCTAACGATATGTATTTATTCTTGACACTTGTCTGCCGACTGTACATACCTACGGTTTTATTATTTTAGTATATTATGTTTAGTAATTGTGTATTAAAATCGCAATTAATTGTTTCTGCTAACGCGTAATATGCACGATATCACAGTGAATTATTAGCCAACATTGTTATTAGGCAATAATATAGGTACATTATAATTATTTTTAAATGAAGCATTTTTTTCCAGCAATATTATGATATTATGTTTAATCATTTTTTGATCGGATATCGATACCAATTCGCAAAGTCGGTATCGTTGTCCGACATTAACAATTATTACCTACCTATTCCAATACTTAGATGATATATTATAGGTACCTACTTAAGTTATTGTGAGTATTCTAAACAATATAATATTATATACCTATTGCGGAACAAATTATGATAATGCTATAGTAAACTATTTTAGTTAATTTAGTAAATACACCTCTTTGTGCTTAACAATAATCGGTGCAGCTGGTGTAGTAGTTGGAACAACATTACACATTTAATATTTAAAGATACATTGTACATATCGCCAAATAATGGTATTGGGGTAATTTAAAACTTAATAATTGCAGTCGGTTCTACTTTCATCATATACCCAGAAGATCTAATAAATGCATATGACTACAACTATAACTATTACTATTGCTATTACGCAGTGTCAAGTGGTAACGTAGTTTAATGTAACGACGTTTTACTTTGTTTGTAATGCGTTGAGTAATTTTGTTTATTAGAATGTGGTACAAGAAACTAAAATTCAATGAAAATTATTTATGATAGTAATTCCTAAAATGTAATGCGTTATACCATTTTGAATTTTGAGAAATAAAAAAAAATTGTAATCAATCTGAAAAAAAAACATTATACAAATAAATCTGAAATGGGCATAATATTATTTTGAATTTTAACTCGTCACAATTTAGTTTTCTACGTTTTAGAAAACATAATAATATTATAGGTAGTAGTTGGTTGCACTGCAGTTTACTTAATCAGCTCTTCTCAAAATACAATTAATTTTTTTTATCTTGTTCAAAGTTTAATAATAAGGTACTATTAATACTTAACATTGGTTTTCAATTTACGATTGATAAAAAAAAAAAAATAGAGAAATACCATTGAACGGAGTTTTTTTTTATTACTCTACAGTAACAAAGTTACCTTTCTTATTGAAAAGTGAAGTAATTTCATTACAATTTTATTTGAGTGAAGTATAAAGTAACATAACAACTTTTTTAATGTAACTTGCCCAACATTGATTTTAAGTTTAAAATGCCTTAACTTAGAAGTAGGTATGTAGAGTGCCATATACAATACATGGCACATAAAAATATATTTTTAGTTATTGCAGATTTAGTGAGATATATAGTAGTACGTCGTAAATATATTATGTATAAAATATTACTTAAATAGAATTTTGCAGATATTTAGGAAAAACGTTTCTTTTGGACCACTATGTATCATCTAGTAATATTATGCAAATAATATTAAATCCCACAGAAAACGTACTGAGACGGTAAGTTTAATCGAAATGGTATTATGTCCCAAGACGCCCATCGTCATCGTTTTATAGGGCTGTGGAGACCAAAAGTTGTTGATTCAAATCTGCAGTGTTTGATATGTTATCGTGATTTTCCCATTAAAATTATTGCCTAGACTTACGTTATTTTATAGTTTAACAAAATATTAACATATACACAGACAATTATTAGTGTATTATTATCGCTAAACACAATGTTGTATACTTAATAAAATACTTGAAGAAGCCAAAAGGCTGATGATATGTATAATATAACCGACAGTTTAACCATTTTAACACATATACACACACTACTGTTATTCTGAACACTTAAAAATAAGATGTTTAATTTTCAAATCAAGCGACATTTACTTACAGAAATTCTCAAAAAAGTGGCTCATCGTCTGTTCTTTGGGTACCTGTAAGAATTGTGCACTGCCCTATAAGTAACAAACGCAATATGTCGCTATTGTGGTGCCCTACTATAGTTGATTGTCAAAATTATATCATTTTGACACGGATAGATGACACGATTAAAAAGTTGTTATTTCTTTTTCTTCAATTTTTTGAAGATATTTTCCAAACTAACATATAGGTACGAGGTACTGATACATTAAGGTATGCTTCAATCTACTTGTAGTTATAGTTGTAATATAATTGTTCCCGATAAACTGGATAAAGAGTCCTATTTGATATTTTTTGAAACTATAATTATTTAACAATAGCACTAATACTAGCAACTATTCAATTCCTCGTGACAAATATATATTGAAAGATTTATGGCAGTTTGAAGTTTTTGCAAGATATATTTTAATTTTTTTTTTAATTTGACTCTCACATACTGCGTAGAAGTTAAAATGTGAAATGGACTTGTGTGGCAAATGACAATGTCATTTGTTCGGTTTGGAGCGTACGCGTAGGGCCGTGATCGGTGGCAGTCACGACGATGGTGAGTCAACGGCATCCATGATGGTGTGTAGTGGATGAGTCGGGAAAAAGAAAAAAATATTGCCTTGCGAACATACATGGAGTCAGTCGGCAGGAGAAAAAAAAGGGATATAATAATGATCACAGAGTCGTAATACACACACACGCGCGCACACGCAAGCACACACAAATATATATATATTATATTTATGTAGTTTCTGCAGCAACGTTCCGCCAACCAATGCGCCCCTCCACGTTTTTTCCCCGCTTGTCGTGTCGTCGGAGTGGGTTCCTTTTTACTTTAATTTTTTGTTTATATCAGAGGCAAATTCTCGGGGGACTCGGTGGCACCACCACCGACCGACAAGTTCTGCCTCAACGCTTCGATTAATAAGCGAAATTGCAAGCTCTCCCCAAAACCGAACACCCGACAAGCGTCGGGTATCGCATCCGCACACCACCGCCACCGAACTCTTCGAGGGTTTGTGACATATGCGGTATGTGTGTGTGTGTGTGTGTGTGTGTGATGTGTGTCTGTTATATACGATGTATATTTAATATATATATACATGTATATATGATACTGTCTACATAATATTATATTATAATAATTATTATATATAATATGTAAATAAATTAAGTATTCATTTTCGTGTACAGACTTTTATTATACTTTTGTAAATATATCACACATTCAATATAGATAGACAATAATAGTATCCAAAATTTCTATGCGAAATCAAAATAAACTTAGAGCAAATATTTATATTTGTAAGAGTAAAATAGTGTTGGTGATCCACCCGAATAATATTAGGCATTGCTTCCACATTTCAATAACATGTTAGATGTGAGATGGGTATTATATTTAAAAAAAAAATCAGCAATATAATAATAACAATAAAAAATTATTCTTTTAAATCTGTCGAGTGTGTCTTAAACAGATTTGCTGAATAATAGGTATATAAAGACTAAGTGTACCGTGTCATTGTGTAGATCACTGTAATGAATATTTTACATTTTAATTCAATGTAACACGGTTCTGAGACAGTTCAAAATATTGGTACCCAAGGTTACCAAAAAATATTTTTAATAATATATTCACATTTAAAAAAACTATCGTCTTTTTTCTGATTATTCAAAAAAACAAAACACTGGTAAATTTCTATTTTTGACCCTTTAAACTAGATACAATTATTGCTACCAAAAATCTCCCTCGAATAGGAAAATGTTTTTAAAAAAAAGTATAAAAAAATGGCAACAGACACAAAAAAAAAAATAAAACATCCACCCCCATTGTAAACCGTAATATATTTGTCACTTCACTCAGAATCTAAAACTGCGATTTGAGTCGTTTATTTTCAAAATAGTTTTGCAAACCGTCATTGTTATCACTACATAACATATAAAACCCATACGGCAGTATATATTTCGTACGCCACCATTTCGGATTTTCTCCATATCGATCATCGTATACAATATTATTATTGTGTGCCATTCAACCAGCAACCACATACGATCATTTTTAGGATTTACGTTGCTTCAGTTAGTATAAGCCAGTTTAAATAGATGAATAAAAATAGTGATATCTATATCTATATTAATAAAAGGCATTGTGTCTGTACGTGTTTAAGCGACCCATATAGTCAAGTCTATGGCCCCTATCACGACGAATCCTAAATTTGGTGCATAGGCAATCCTATATTCGTGCACCTTTATACAATTTTTTAAAATTTAGATCTTAAAGATGGACTCACACTGGGAGTTGTTGATTCGCTAAGTGCGAATATTTTTCCGTTTATTATATGATCAACTGCATGAATTACAGAAAACAAAATATATATTAAAATTTGATATAAATTTAGACCTGTATATTTTAATAGTTGGTAAAGACTGGCCACTCCTCCTCCCCCAAAATTATTGTGTTAAAAACATGTGTTTATTGAACATTGAACGGAGTTTAAGACAAAGTAAATACACTGGTATTATTTAATTCATCACTATACTATCACCAATAGTTTATCCCGGAACCGGAAAGCCAATTAATACTTCTATTAATAACGTTAAACGACCTTAATCCCCGATATCTATAGGAATATAATATTTCATGTCGCTTTTAGAACTATATATAGACGATCGACAATTTGGTATAGTCTGGATCGAAAGTTTATTTTTCCTTCTACCGTTTCCACAACGACGGCTTTTCTTGTTGTACGGGACAATAATGTTATGATATTCGATTTTTTCCACCCCGACGGGCAACCATCACATCGAAGAGCGCACGAAGTACAACAATATATTATAATATATCAACGGAACAACTCGAAACGTTCCGCCGATCAGTTTGCGACAAAGACGCACAGTGTCGACCACACGCACAAACAGTACCGTTGTGGGCTCGCTCGTTTTTATCGAACAACTCGCAGCGAGTATGGCGTAGGCGTCACCGCCGACGGAAGTGACTCCCGATGGCCGATTACAAGCAGCTCAAGTGGGCCGACGACAAGCGGTGGACGAACTTGCGCAAACGTGGCACGTACAAAGCGTTGGCGGAAGCCAGCCACCGAACAAACGATGCCCAGTGGCTGGCCAACGACGAGGCGACGGCAGGGCGGCTGGCCGACGTCAAGCGGACCACGGCCGCGCTGTACAAAGCGCTCGGCACCAGAGACAACGCGGTGGGCCACCTGCTGCCGGACGGGCCACTCGTCGGCAGGGCCGCGTACTGCAGGATGGAGGCGGCCGAGGCGGCCGAGCGGTCGCTGCGGGACAAAATGGTTCGCGGCCAGCACCAGCTGAACGAGTGCCGGCAACGGGTGGCCAACAAGACGGCGCGCCTGGCCCAATTGAAGGCCAGAGTGGCCGCGGCCAGGGACTCGCTGCCGGCCAAGCCGCGGCGGCCGCCGGTGTTGGAGTCCGCGCTGATGCTGGACAAGAAAGTGGACGCCCTCAAGCTGGGCAACCTGCAGGCGGCCAAGGCCCGCGACATTATCGCCGACAACACGGCAATGAGGGACGCGCTCAACGAGCAGTTGGCGTCTGACGTCCGTCTACAGGCCACGGCAGTGGTCGAGCTCCTTGTTTACGGTACGGCCGCCAAGCAGGAGGCGGTCGCGTACATCCGGGAATACTGCCGGGTGGCGGGCGAGCACGAGAGTTCTATAAAACGGAAAAAAGCGTTTAAGCAAATGCTCAATACGAGAATATCGACACTGGAATCGAACAGGTGCCGTTGTCGATTTCGTTTATATTTTTTTGTTTACCGAGTCATCAATATTTTCTACTAGAAACATTTCGATATGTTTCGGTACTGAGTAGTGACACAACGACTTGTATCGAAGTAAAATTCCGATACCGGGTGGTATGTACAAACCCTGAATTTTGGTACATTACTCGTGTAAAATTTTAAACACTCAATATTGAATCGATACTCTCCAATTTCTTCGTTGAAAATCTTGAATGTATTAGGTAGGTATATCAAAACATTTAAAACAATACAAAACATCATGGTTTTATAATAATAGTAATAGGGTTATAAGACAATTCAAATAAGTCGGTCAAATCGTTTTTCAACTATTTTTTCTTTGTTTGTTGTTGAGTGAACATTCAACCAAAGTTCGTAGTTAAGTTTACTGTCATCTCTTGTTATACTGCTCCACAAACACTTTTATGAATAAAATTAACATAAAGAGTTAGTTAAAGTTTAGAAGAAAGTAACAAATACGTTCATTGTTTTGTTATAGAATATTACAATTTTTTTTTAGCTTATTATACATTTTTAATTGCAAATTTTGAGAAAAAAAGATTGAGTGGTATTTTTTTACGCTCATGAATTCTAATTTTCGTATTACGTATTAACTGTTCTCCGTGATCAATTCGTATCAATGTTCCATAGAATAATATTAACGGGTTGAACGAGATCGTCTGACGAAATACTACTGATTTAACCACTATTTGAAAGATAAACTTTTTTCGAATTTTACTATTAATCTGGAAGAAGATTCTTAATCATTCAGAAGTTCTCTTGGCTTTTACGCTTAAGCCAACGTATATTATTAACGTCTTACTTGGCTCTTTATATAATATACACCTAATCTTCGTGACAACATAGTACACTATAATATAATTAAGTTACTCATAATACTCAGTAATCCATACATATTTTTGAATTATTTTTAGATAACATGAAACTAGACTATTGGATCATTAATCTCCTTCTAGATAGAAATCTATAATACGTATAGGGTACTGAGTAGTGTAGGTAACTGTGTTATAGAGTGTACTCAGTTTTCACAGACACATGGTATAACAGTACGTGCTTTAATGATAACTATTGCTATTGCGGTGATCCGCAGAATTTATCAGAATATGAAAGTTGAAAGTGCAAACTTCCGATCTTTAATAGATAATTATAATGCAACTTTAGGCTATAAGATTTGGTAAATTTTTAAAATAAAAAATGTTATAAAAGGACAAAGATGCTAATCAATCAAATACACAATGATTCTGGCGAGGACATTGAATTTGATACTGGACAGGATATGACACCGATTGTATCTGATTTGGAAATTCGAAGCAAAGCAGGTGATAAAAACCTGATGTTGTTGAAGGATTGGATCGACAACGGACAAATGGAGAAACAAATGTTTGCCATGAAAGAAAATGCGGCGATGTCTAGTCTTACCGATGTGAAAAATCCAATCGATGGCTCGAGTTCAAGCACCATGGATGATTTTATATTTCCCGAAGAAAAGGTATGTAACTATGCTTAACATTTTATAATACTTAACTAGCTGTTCCACCCGGCGTTGCCCGGGCAAAAGTCACCTTAGGTAAAAACCGAGATTTTCTTACATTATATAAATAATAGCTGACCCGGCAAATGTTGTTTTGCCATATTAATTGAGGGCAATGACATACGGGTACGGTGTTATAGTATATACCATCTCCTATTTCAACCCCTTACAGCCCTTTTTTAGTATTAAAAAGTAGAATATGTCATTTCTTAGTGTCTAAACTATCTATGTACCAAGTTTCATTTAAATCGGTTCAGTTGTTTTTGCTATAGTTTGGTTAAATCTACTATACACAACAATGATCAAAATAATTTTTAGAATTTCAAGTAGCTTATAAAAATATTTATAAACTATGACTCAAGTCTAAAGATATGATATAGTCAATTCCTATGTATTCAAAATTGTAGGTATATAATGTATTTTGGAAAGTCATTTATTGGGTTTCTTAGTAACATAATGAAAAACAAATTGAAAAATAAAAAAAAATAAAAAAATAGTAAATGTACAACAATCTATTCATATAACGTTATTTGTTCCAATTATTATTTTATAAACCATAAAAATGAATAGTTTTTATGGTCTTTGGTCTTGCAGGATAAATGTGCACATAATAACTATCTAGAAGAAATATGAACTAACAAAAAAACCACCAATGTTAAACTAATACATTCCTCAATTTATTCTGAATCTAAACATTTTTTCTTTTTGAAAATTATTGACGTCAAATCAAAATGTTTCCATATCATATACCACAATAAAAAAATAATACTAAATGCAAAATGTATTAGAGTAGTGAACTTATCAATGGCGAAGTTATGAATGTTTAAAGAAAAATTTCTTTACGAAGAGAAAACATCCAAAAAAATTCTCAGATTTATCCCAACAACTTAACACGTCACAAATTAAGACAAGACAGACGTTTCCAAGGTAGTGGTAAACCTTGTCCGGCTGCATTTAATCGACCTAACTTAACCACAGCAGTGTTTGTGGGCCTTGATAAGAATTAGTTATGATATCAATCTTTTTTATCATTATTTCTTATTCAATTAATATTGTTAAACATTTCTTAAAAATAAAATTCATAGAAATTGTAAATAATAAAAAAAATAAATCTTATGATATAGGTACCTATAAGTGGTTTCGTAATTAAAAAGCATTCTTAAAAATAAACTAGGTCTTTTTTTATCAACAATCTAACCACTATAATATTATGACACCAAATGTTTTATTTAGCCGAAAAAAAAGTATTAATTAAATTCAAAGATTTTTGATTTAAGACATTTTTTAACATCATTAACATATAGGTAAGAGTTTTTACTTATTAGCTCGATAAAATAAAAATAAATTGAAAAATGGTATCACTACACTAAAATAGGAAAACCTACATACCTACTATTATAAACTTACTCATGTTATTGCCAATGTGTTATTTTTGATTTCACTACTCGTAGACATAAATCATATAAATATCATAATCTATTCATTATATTCTGTTTGAAAAAAAAAAAAAATAATACCTTAATAAGTAAGTACATATAATCAAAATTCTATAGTTTTGAAAGTTTCCAAATAGAAACACCAGGTATATAACAACTATAATACAATAATGCTGAAATAACAATTTGATACTTATCCTAGAACTATTACTATATGCTTATTTTAAAAAAAGAATGAAATTAATTTTGCTAAAAACAAATTTAGGCGCATATATTTTTACATAATTTATTAAGTAATTCTAATTTTTTTTCAAAAAAATATTTATTTGTGTTTTTATGAATATTAATTTTTATCAACACCAATCATATTTTAAAAAGTATTTAAGTATTTTATTTAAAAAACAACTAATTATGTTAAATATTCAGAATTTTAAATGTACCTACTCATTCCAGAATATTATGGTGTTGATTTTTATACGATGTATAACTGTATCCTTTCGATTGAACAAACAATGAATAAATTATGTAAATCCCTAAAACTAATTACACTTGTTGATTGTACTTGAAAAATACCCTATCAAATTAAGTTCAGCAGACCGAAAGCAGATCCTAATTATAACGAAAAATTTAATAACAACATACATTTACGATAACGCTTCATTTGAAATGATACTCACTATTTAGTATTAACTACTTATATATAATGTATTCTATGATGTAATAATGCTTGTTTGTATATTTAATATAACTACGCACAGATCGTTGTTAAACACTCAATAAATATTGTTTTTTATGAGTAGATACATATTAAAATTATACTTATAGTTTTAATTAGGTACCATATTTTAACATAGCATTTTTGTAATTTTCTAAAATATTATATTTTTACTATTTAACATAATATAATTATATGATATATAATATAAATATTATATTATATTACATAATATTATACTGTGAGTTCAAAAAAGTTATTGCCCTTAACAATTAAACATCTTGATGTTTGAATTATAACTTTAAAATGTTTTAAAACAGTGTCACAAATAACATTTTGTTATTATTTACTCTTCTCGTTGTATGCATTGTACGTTTATCTCTATAAAGGTATTCAAAAATTTTAAATTAATTCAAAAATTATATTACACAAAAATAATATAGACCAAGTGATCCTGTCGTTCTCAGGTCAACCAATACAAGTTCAAAGAAGGTGAATCAAGCAGAGCAATGGAAGCTGTAGAATACGTATGTGAGACGTTAAACTTCTCAAACATAGCAGAAGTACTGCATTATTTTTCGTCAGTTAAAAATGTGGAGATGCGAATAAAAAAAATGATAAGCAAGCGAAAACATATACTCGGAGTCGTAGAAAAGAATTTAGCATCTGCGAACGAACTGAAAATAGAAAGTTTAAATCGTTTACCAGAAGCGATTTTGAAGTTAGATGCAAACATTGAGCATGTCAAGCGTGAGGGTTTAGAGGTCCAGAAAAAACAATTGGAGGATGTCAACAGACGCATCACAGGGTACGGTATCCTGTTCAATGAACTTTGGTTCCAGTTAGATAATCTCGTGGAAAAACTCGAACGATGCAAGGTAAGAATTCGCACTGTAAAAACTCTACAATAATATGAGGTTTCGTGTTTTGTCTTAAAACATTGTATGGTATGTAATAATGTGGGTTGGGTTACGTACCACGCCTGTAGCGAAATGAGTGGACAGATTGCGTCGATAAATTATTGTGGCTCAAAGATATTAGATAAGTAACTATTTGAAACGTCCAAACTATGTATGAAAATATAATCGTACAGGCATGGAGCAGTTTCGTGTATTATAACGAATTGTTTTAATTTTAAGATCAGTGTTATTGAGCTCCTTATATTTTAGTTTTTATGGTCAGTATAAACCAATTGCACTTTTAGTTTTACCTTCAGATATTAAAGTTAGATCATAATAAACCATGATAAACTATGATACATTATAATATATTTATTTATATTATACTATAAATTATTTTTATTAATTAATTATTTTAAATTATTTATTATGTATATTAAATTGGTCAATTGATTACTGAGTAACAGGCTAAATGTTTTTTTGTTTGGAAAAAAAACAATTATATTCTTCGATTTAAAACATTTAGCTTTTTCGCTGTCAATATTCTAAACATCATCTTGATATTTTTGAAACGTCATACTTATTATAATCAACATACATGAGTGAGCATGAATTTAAGTAAATTGAACTTATAGTTACTAGTTATTACATATACAGGATAAATCAAGCTTTTAATTTCGCAATTTATTTATGGTCCTAATCGGTTTGTCGCACTGCAGAATACTTTATAATAATGATAACATTATAATACATACATAATACCCATGCATAATGGGTAACATAATGATGATGATACTATTAGATACTTGTATAATAATAGTATGTAGGTCCAATAAATTTTCATTTATTTTTTATTATACTCAAAATAAAATATACTTAAGTTTTCATTATTGTCTTTTTTTATTTCATTGTAAGAACGTGATTTAAGTTGTACCTACCTACTGGATGTCACAAATACTATCATATTCTATAATATAAATATTTGTATGTATTTTAAATTTAAATTGTCAAAGTCTATTTTCCAGCACAATTAGTTTATCTACCATGAAAATAACCGAGCGCATTAAATCGGTACATGCCAAAGTCATTCTAAGCGCAATATTGGTGAACTCCCATTTGTACACCGAAGTCACCAACTGTAAATAATATATTATAATAGTCATTATCATAATTATTATGACAGTTATTATCATTCTTATTTTTTCAACCCCTTTAGTTTTGATAATGTATTCTGAATATTATTTATGCTCCGGTGAACGATGTTCGAAAATCGATTGTGCTGCCGTCGTCATCGTCATTGTTTTTGTCCTCAAAACGTAAATAACCACAGGCGCATACCTAGGCATTCTGGTATTGTATACGTCCTGTCTACGCGATAGGCGTTTCCGATTTCCTTCCGACCTGCCCTTCCACGTCACGTATTATTATTTTTATATCATAATATTATTGTATTGTATTACGGTGGCGATAATAATATATCGATCGCTACGACTTTCGACGAAATTACGTCCCGCTGCCCCAATCGATTGTTTTTAGCTCTGCGAAAATTGGGTTGAATAAGCAATTGTATAGATTATATACGTCTGCCGCGGTTATAACTTATTGTTGATCATTATGACCTACCCACCTATTATTACATACCACTGTATCGGCGGCGGCGGCGGCGGCGGCTGCGGCGGCTGCGGTTAGGGGTTGGGTTATTAGGACTTGGGTAGGTGGTACCTGACCTACGCAATCGTTGAACATTATAATGTCTATTATTCCCCGCGATATACCCGCTGAACTCGTTGTGTTTGCACATCGTGCGGTACGAACCGTTTGCCCGTTTCGGGGCCTTTCGCGAACGTTGTTTGTTTCACATTGATCGTTTAGCATGCGTACACAACACGCGTGTCATATTGTTTAGTTATGGGCTCGACAATAAGCCGCACAATAATCGACCACGCCCCCTCATTTATCCGGACGCGGCCGCGTGCGTGGAAACCGTTCGCGGAACGAATTATTTCCCTCGGAGACACGTGCCGCCGAAAACCATCGCCGACCGCAGCGTGCTACGGTTAAAAGTCTGTTGCTGTACCGCTAATTGTTTGCCGGATTTTGATTTATCCGAACTGAGTTGTATTTTATAACGAGCCATTAATAATAATAATAATAATAATAATAACAACGGACTCTCGACTATACTGCAGTACTTGCTGCAGCGGCAACGCTATCGTCACCCGGTGGGTGTGCGTGAGTGTGGGGAGGGGGTGTGGGCCGAGTGAGATGTCGGAGCACCGGATAATTCGTTTTAATCTCGTTTCCGAGTATCATAATATTATTAGAAACACGTGTTGTGGTAGCAGTACACTAGTGCATTATTATATTAGTTGGGTATTGTTAGTGCATCGAAAGGTCGTGCGGACTTTACGGCGCTTATGAAGGCTAAGTTCCTCGCAAAACCAAAATATGATCTATCGTTCGAAAAATGACGTACGAAAGTGTTTCCGTCGTACTATTATTAGTTCGTTCGTCAAAAATAACGTGTTAAACAATTTTTAAAATAGCGTCATTATTCGATGTAATTTTACTTCATTTTAGTATATTATCGTGGTATTAATGTATTATAAGCCACATTAAGTGGGCAATTTAAAATGTATCCATATAATATATGTAGTATGAGCATCGATAACTTTTATTATTTACCAGTGGAGGAGATTGGTAAATGATGCCACACAAAAAATAATTTGCCTGACTTGTAAATCATAAAAATATATGATGTGTCACTATTTTATGTTTCGCAGAGACTTGATGTTTGTTATTTATTCGGTAGCTGTAATATAGTACTATATTATTATAGTTCACGTGTTATATAATATTATATAGTTTTCGATTTAAAGTTGTGACCAAATACATTACGTCGTACATTTTGCCTTTTGACTTACATCGTGACAGTAAATTGTTTTAGCCTTGAGGTGAATGATTCTCAATAGGCTGTATACATAGTAGTAAAGTATGACATTATTTTAAACGCATAAGATTACCCAAAGGACCTTTCTGGGTGAATGGGCATTCAAAATGTTTATCGCACCAGATGGGGTGACGGGAATTATGTGGAGGACTATGTCGTAACGGCCGTTATGAAATAAAAAAAATCCGTATCTACCAACAAAAGTGCACATTTTGAGAAAAACAAAATCACCGTTTAATTTATCGTCTTTTATACTCGTAAACTTTGGGAACGATAAAACATGACGTTTTATTAACGCTTCAATAGCATTTTAAAGAACTGTAAATAACCTAAAAAATTTAGAAATACGAAAACTGTTGTGCTCACATATTAAATGCTTCACGGTCGAGGTTATAAACATTGCGCGTATCGACGATCTTCAACTTTAGGACATTAAATAAAAAAGAATAATAAAATCTATAAAAAAAAAAGAATTTTTTAAACATTTACTACCCATTGTAGTATATCCTATATAGATTATAGAGTATATAAATACTGCGAATTTTCCTAAATAAAAAGATTTTATAGTGAATTATTAGTAAACCGTCAAAATTGGTATTCACTGTGGGATCGTTTCGGAGGTCATCTGGAAATTTGGACCCCTTTGAAATGGTATTATTGAAGGGTATGACATAAATATAACCCGTAGTCTGTAGTGTTAAAAAGCCTACAGTTATATATACAAATCGGTGGCGGGAAAATCCAGAGTAGGCGGAAAATAAAACCGACGGTAAAGGTATATAATATATATATTTACAAAAGGTATTTAACTTTATATTTTATTTCATGGCAGAGACTCGCAAATTTTGGCTTCCAGATGTTTAACCATATTATATCCACCGATGTTTTACCTAACGTTGGTTCCTAATCGTTTTTAACAACGTGCGCTGCTGCAGGTCCCAGTGGTGAGGAAATATCAACTCCACATGAATAACCCGGCCAATATAGACACCGAGGTGATGATGGACGCTCGTGAAATGCTAAAGGGACTGCGCTTGAAACCTTGTACCGTCGTTGACGAAGACTGTATCACAATCCACAAACCTTCAGCGGTCGCTTCGATCGACTCTTCACCCGGATGCCGGACGGTGGACGTCTCTGACAGGAATCCGGCCGTTGACGCTTGCCGGAAGTTGTCCGAAAAACTGTATTCCAAGGTGAAGTCGTGCATGGCACACCTCGGCGGCACCTTCGACGCGAACGACAAAAAACAGCTGATGGCCCGGGCGTGCTTCGCGTACGACCGGCAGACCCAGTTGCAATGGGACGCCATCAACACGAAGGACCGGAAGCGCCGGATGCGAGCCAGTTTGCAACTCCCGGTGGGGAAGGCCAAAGCCTCGGTGACTGACTCCAGGGCTACCGGCGGTATAATGACTCGGGTGCAGACCAAACAGCAGGCCGAAGACATCGTCCAGTGGTGCATCACGCCCAAGGACACGGACGACGCGAAGAGGACGAGAAAGCCCATATCGTTCCGGAAGTCCCGGATCATTGTGCCAGAACGAAAAAATTAATAATATGTAAGTATTAAATACCCCCCCCCCCCACCACTAATTTACAGCTGTATAGCAGACAGACCGTGGTCATCTGCGCAAAGCAAAATAGTAAACCGCCTCTTCTGTCAGAAACACCGTGCGTATCTACATATATAAATACAATTACAATTGCACATATAGCTAGCTGGAAAAAACTGTCACCATAAACTCCCTGTTATATGTACCCAAATGTATTTTTATTCAACACGATATCCATTATAATTAAAAATATATTTTCATTCTATCGAAATGCCCACGGTAGTATAACACTTGAATTTATTACGGTCGTAACGAGCAATCGGCGAGAAGGATCGAATACGTAGCATATATATTTTTAACAGTTTCATAATTTATTATGAAACTCGGGTAATTTAAAAAAATCATCAATCGCTCCTGAAATTGTAATTATGAAATATAGGTTATACATCAATACAATAGTATCTATTCAGAAAACGTCAAAATATTATAATAGATCATAAAAAGTAGGTTTTTCGTATAATCTCTTTGTTCTAAAACTTTCCATGTCCAATAATTGTGCAGTACTTGAAAAACTACTATTTAAGAACAAATTAAATAAGAGATAAACATGTTGATAGGTTCAATTACTACTGGATGGTTTCTCTTTTTATTATACGCTATCATTGTTCTTATTTTCTATATTATTATAATATTTAACAATATTATCATATTTGTTTATTGTGCTAGTCTAGGCAGTGACGTATCCAGAGAGGTGGCATGACCACATTGATGGTATTAAATTGATGATTATCAATTGATAATTTATATATTATAATATTTCCACCATTTTGAAAAAACTAGATACGCCACTGCTGTGCCTTAAAAGGACGTGATACCTGCATGTCTTGTCTCACAAGTGAGTAATGTACTAAATTTAACGCTCGGCAGATCTCTGCTAAAGCACCGTTAGCTTAAAAATTAGAGTGATTTAACTTCTTAATTAACTTAACCTTTTTTGAAACTGTACATTTTAAAACTGTAATAATCTTACCTTTAAATTTTATTGGAAGGAAATTCACTATAATTTTTAAGCTAACGGAGTTAAACGTGATCTCCTGAGCGTAAAATATGGTATGTTACACATATGTAAGATGGAGACACAACTCATGCTGGTACCACGTCCTCTTGAAGCAGAGATTTTTAAAATTTTCTTTTAATAACATAAATAAACAACAAATAATATCTAAATCTCCATAAGATTATACACTTAAAATTTGTATATTGTACTTCCCATTGTTATTTCAATAACATTGTGATAATAATATTACCATTTCTACATATTTTATGATTAGTATAGATACACGTATTTCACAAACAAATAAAAGAATAAAGTATATTGTAATAATTTGGGTGAAAAAAAATGTCAAATTGTATTTATTATAATAATATAACATTTCAAACAGTTAGGTATAACAATGTGAATAAAAATGAAAGAATACTTATTTCGCTGAGTCAAAATGTGTATTCTATAAAAAGGTAAATAATTGGGAAAAACTACAAAAGTCGAAAAAATGTTATTATACTTCACTTCATACTTATCGAGTGTTAAAATCACCTACCGACATAATAATATTATCCCATATACAGTATAACACTGGCTGCAGGTAAAGTAGGGCGTGACACATATAGGTGACATCGGAATTGAGTTAATGGATTGCTTTATAATGATCCTAAATATGCTGATTCATGTGAGAAATGCATGTATATTGGTACTACGTATATAATATGACAACCATTGTATTTAATAGAGTATCCCCGGGGTGCTTACTCAACTATCAAAAGTGTCACATAACAATATGGCATTGTGACGAGACGAATCGTTTGAAACGAACGCTGTGACCGCGAATTTCTTTAAAAGTAAAAAAAAATCACAATCAAATACCTTCTCCCATAGTATAGGAACATGTATTTTACATGAATATAGAATTATGTTTCATATGCTATTTTTATTATTTTTTTTTAAGAACAATTTTAAGCAATTTACATTTTAACATACAAAATGAGTAAATATATCTAATATTATGATATACAATGTATATGCCTATGTATGGGTACTATCTATATGATATATACCTATGTCAAACTATTACATTTTTTATGATTATATTACTTATTTATTTTTTAAAAGAATAAAAATAAACGGTTACCCCACCGACCGTGACGTAGGTACAGTAAATAAAAAATATGTAGATACAACGCTCAGTTGGACAAATTTTTATTGTCTCAAATTCTATAACGATTCATTTTTAGAATGCAAATTTGTTCTCGAAATGATATACATCGTCAAAGTTTTACGGACAAAATGATGTGATTTTGATTCGTATATATTATTATAATTACGTCACGACGAACACGCGGTACGTGGAATCAGCTAGAGTGTGATTTATTCAAATATTCAAGAATATATTTTTTTTAACTTTGAAAATGTTACACCCGCATAATAACAGTCGGTGAATATTATAATTATTAAATTATACGAAACGTACACTGCCATTTCAACACTGAAGTTTTTTCACGCAGTAATAATCTTCTGATATTATTACTAAAGAGATTACGTTTCAGACGCATAATATACTCTTTCACGTCGTCATCGTCGTCGTCGTCGTCGAGACGCGATATTATAACTATTTTAGTCGCTGCATGACATTTTAGTACGACTTCGAAGTATTTAGGTTTTCATCGCACGTTTTTTCAGTGCGACTTTTCCCCAAGCCGACGATTATAATAATTAATAATAATATTTCATCGCGATTGCAACGTCGATCGATCAAATCGTCCGTACAAATTGGCCATGTAATTATCATTTTTGAGAAAATACGAAGGGAATAGTCGAACGTATTTAATTGCACTAATCGTGTATCTCTAAAGTGTATTCATTTTTATCCATTTTCGTGTACCTTAAACAAATGTCGTTGACCCATTTCCACGTTTATCTTTGATATGCATACTAAGGGTAATTGTACTAGTTTGATTTTAAAATGGTGAACTGACTGTTCACAGGTATATCACCGCAGGTAGAACTATGAGTTCTCTAGAGTTCGATAGAGCGAGCTTGGACCTTATTATCTCGATTCCTTTTGTTGTATTTCAATAGCTGTCTTAGAGCATAATCTACACGGCCATCTCCGCCGGAAAATTGGCTTTACGTTAACATTTTGAAGGCAGCTTTACGCGTTGTATACAGTGCCCCATAACTGCTGTAGTTGAGACTTTGATCGTTTTAGACAATTTAAAAAACAAATGGTATCGATCGCATAGCCCGCATAACTTCCGTAACTATTGAGATATGACAGCTGATTTACAACAGCAGCAGTCGTCGACAGCTCGACGGCACACAGACAGCACAGCGGTGAGACAACAACGACAACAGCCTGCGCTATACTGCCTCATGGAACGTTGATGGTTGGCGAGACAGTGTCGTTTAGTCGTACACACAACACTTTTATGTTATGATTAAAATAAGCGTCGAGCACGCGACGAGCGTATATATTATTGTTTAATATCAATATATAATAATATATGATCTCATCATGACGTGTGCTGCAGTATTCGTGTCAGCCGCGGACTGCACGGCACACGGCCGGAAACTGCTGCGGTCGGGCCCCCGAATCGGCAGGACACATTATTATAAAACTGCGTGGACGGAGCGGGAACATGGAGACGGTCGTGGGTTATTCCACGGCGGAAAAACGGCAGCCAAACGGTTTTTATACCGTCAAACGAGCGGGCCTGGCTGGCGGCTGGTGTGCGCGGGGAGGGGGGGGGCGTCGCGCTCGTATTGCGATGCATTATACATTACGCGTATTGAATGAGACGTGAGCGGCGCGGCGGACGTGCGAAGAAAGATTCCATTAGGGTGCGGCGCGGCGGGGGTGTGTGTGGGTGTGTGTGTGTGTGTGTGCGTGCGTCACACTCTTCTCATCATACAGGCGGTGGCGATGCTGAGGGACGCGACTTACGCAGAATATAGTATTGTCGGGTCGGCCCTCGTACCGGCGGCGGCGGCGGGGAGGTGTAAGCGAAGACGATATTTCATTTCGACCACCGACACCCCCTCCCCCCCCCCACCCGCCGACGTCCGTCCGACCGAAAAGTGATAATAATTCATATTGGTCCGGGCGCGTCCGGTCACTAGAGATCACAAAGGTGCGTGCACACACTCGCACACATACAAATAACTCGATCCATTTCTTTTCGCGTTCCCTCCGCATGCACTCCTACACTAGGCGTCCGTTCGCGTACCCACCCACCCACACACACACACACATACACACGCACAAATACACTTATATCATATATAATATATAATATATATATGGGTTTTTTTCCATTGCTGGCAGGGCGCGGGGAGGGTAGAGAGCAAGGCGACGGGTGCTGCAGTGGACTTCGATGATTTATGGAAAACACGGCAACTGTGACGGGTCGGAACTAACGGAAAATGTCTCTCCACCCGCTGCCACCGCCGCCGACGGACATCCCGAACCCCCCCGAGACGCGACGGTCGGTGTGCGCGCTGGACATACCAAACAGCTTTACCTCCACCTGTCCGACTTCGCCGGGCCCGCTGCCGTTGTGTTCCCGCTCTGACACATTAGGGAATTACATTTTTCTCCGGCGAAACTTATGTGCGCACAACACTTTTTGCACACACGGTCCCCACGCCGCCACTGCAGCCACTGAACTTATATTATATCCTCTTTTGTGGCGCACCCCACTGCACCCCACCACGGGCGGTCGTTACCGGTGCCAAACGCGAGCGGTTTGACCTCATCATATATATATATATGTATAAAGGTACATCATTTTATATACGTATATCATATTATTATATTAGACTCGCAGCCGCCGCCACTGCGGCCACTGACCGTCTTTTATTTTTCATCGCGAATAAATTTCCTCCGGTCGGGTGTGCGTTGCTACTCCAGACCGCCTCCTGCCGTCAGTCCATAGCCGCTGGAGGG